TACTTTAATTCCAAGGGTCTTCTGGCCAATCTAGTGATGTCACTGGTCATTCCTCTTCTTTCCGGTGCTGGTGGTGAGTGGTCCTTACTGCTGCACTAATTATGCACTGCAGTGATATTCTGAGCCCAGTCTACATAATGACGGGTCCATGACACACATTGCTCACAGGAAGTGTTACTGGCCATCATTCAACCCAGAAGACTGAGGACATCTTGTGGTGCATAAGAAGTGCTGCAGGGCACAGTTCCTGATTAAAGTTTTGCTGCAAAAGCTGCTTTTTTATTTAAACTATCACATTTTATTTTTTTAGCTGGAGTTCAACTTTAGTACATTTGAGCCACAGAATAAGAACAAACATTCTAAATAAATGAGTGTCAGAAAAGTGTCAGTGTCAGATTCCTTATCTCTCGTTGATTTGAGTCAGTGACTCGGAAAGCATTGAACACAAAGTTTCAGAATGATAGCTAGAGAACTGGCAATGACAGACTCCATAATTCTCACATGACAGGGTCCCTCATAGTAGTAGTTATAATCATGTTAGGCTATAAAAGCAGAACTTACCTGAACTGCGCTGTTGTTAGATCCTGTGGGCCAGTTTTATAAAGATATCATAGTGGCTTTCTGCTGATAGATTTATCCAATCCCCTTCTTTCTGATCATTAAAGTGGAAATGCTGGGGGAAAAAAGCTACATATTTCCTGGTTTAGCTAGAAACTTGGAACTTTGACTTCCTGTGTAATCTCCTTTTTTTGTGCACGTGAATGAACAGTATGATGTTACCAAGTTAATGACCAAAAAGTGGACTGGAGGGTTAGATGTGACATTGGATGTTGCAAAGCTAAAGTGGGGGAGTAGGGTGTCACCTGTCTGGATTTGCCGTATGGCAGGGGGGAAGCAGTATGATGGCAAGTGCTTCCAGCAGTCTTCAACTTTTAATAAAACCCCCAAGGTTTCCCTTTTTGGCCCCGATGTTGCATCAGGCAGTTGGATTGGGACTAGGACTGGAACATATTGGACTAGAGGATGAGACAAAGACAAAAAAATGGATCTTGCATAGAGATTGCAAGGAAAGTTACATAATTACACAGAACACAACAGAAAAAAAAAATTTGATAAGATTTTCTAGAGGATGGATCCTCCCTTTTGATGAAAATGATTGCCCATAGATCAAATGATCATATAGTGCAACTGTTTCTGGAAAATACTGATGAACAAAAAGTTGCGCTGGGAGAAACAATTTAGGCAATGATTACCAGCTGCAACAATGTGTAACAAACCATGAATCCAATACTATGCTGATATGTAAACTATGCCTGTGCAGTGAATGAGATGATAAAAAAAGAAGAAATTATAAAAACATAAGTATCTTTTGTTCACCCTGTGTGTCAATCCTTTGTGTAAACTCTGTGATATATTTCTGTGGGTGAGTGGCTCGCCAGAAAGGTTTAAAATTGCTACACTTAGCAATTTTCATTAGAGGCACCTTTCTGTTTCCCTCCCCACTGCTGTTTCTAACAACCCCAGCTGACTGCCAATGCTGCACCTGAGGTGCAAGAAGGGTTAAACGGAGGGGAAGGAGAGATTGGCGTGCAGCTCGGTTTTGGCTTGATGCAAGGAGTGGAGACGAAATTTGTACCACAGCGTAACTAATCATTGAGAGACTATCCCAACTCTATCCACCTTTGGCACCCTAGGCGAAATCCAAGAGGACAGTTGAGTACAAACTCCCCTCATAGTCTATCAACCAGGGACGGAGATGATACACAGAACGGTTTGAGTCTATGGGGGTGATTTACTAACCTAAACACACGCACGCACCAGGTGTGTGTGATTTTCACACAGCAAAACGTATTTATCAACCAAAAAGTCTCTAAAAGCATATTTCCACTAATGCCATATATGGAAAAATCATGCACATGATGCATATATAATGCTGCTTCACAGTTTAGACAAAAATGGTTAGCTAATGCATTTACATTCCTGCATTCATCAACGCAAGCAACATAACATAGAGCTAATTTACACCACATTACCTTGCAATTCATTGCAGGGCTTTGCACAACACACCTGCTGGGTGTGTACACACTACAAAGGTGTTTCGATTCCTCCCATAGATCATGCTGGGAGGGAACACACTACAGAGGTGTATACACGTTCATGGTGTGTTTATAAGGTTAGTAAATCAACCCCTATATGTCTGTACAGGGACTGATCGTATATGAGGACCCTGCCGGATTTCATTTGACACGGAATTGTTTTTCTGGAAGATCCTGATATTCCTGTCATTCTAGGGGGCTTCCACCACCACTGATACCCCTTTTTTTATTCATCTACATGGGCTTATTGATCACTGGTCACTTATAGGCTATAGCTTGTACATATTAGCCTTAGCCCATGACACTAAATGTTTCTTAAAGTTACAGAATTCACATTGCAATGTATATGAGAGAATATTGATTCATGTTTATTTGTTCACGGAGTGGAGTTTTTTGATGTTTGAAAATAAATAACTTGCCCACTTCATTTATATACATACTCTTTGGTTTGAGTGGAGGAACACAGGCGAGCCACTCACCCACAGAGATATATCTCAGAGTTTACACAAAGGATTGACACACAGAGTGAACAAAAGATACTTATGTTTTTATAATTTCTTCTTTTTTTTATCATCGCATTCACTGCACAGGCATAGTTTACAACTGTTGGTGGAATTAAGTTATTACTAATACCTAGCGCAACATATGAGCATAGTATTGTTTCTGGAAAATGTAATCAACATATTTTGCTTCCTCTGTTTCTGACTAACTACTTTTTTCTTACACTTTGTTTTTGGTTAATGATTTTGTTTAACACGGTGATGAAGCAATGGTAAAGCATAAGAGGTGGAAGGGAGCAGGCCAGAGCCAGTGACAGTGGGAGGGTGCAGGCCAGGGCTAGTGAGGGTGGGAGGGAGCAGGTCAGAGACAGCGACAGTGGGGTCAGCAGCCCAGAACCAATGACGGTGGAATGAAGCAGGCCAGAGCCAGTGACGGTGGAAGGGAGCAGGCCAGAGCCAGTGACAGTGGGAGGGAGCAGGCCAGGGTTAGTGATGGTGGGAGGGAGCACCATCACTTATGACATTGGGAGGGAGCAGGCCAGAGCCAGTGACGGTGGAAGGGAGCTGGCCAGAGCCAGTGACCACAAGATCTGGCTCACAATGCTGGCACTCCCGGCCTCAGTCTGATTTTTGGAGTGCAGGCGGTGGTGGAAATGTAATATTAAAGGAGAACTATGGGGTCAGTGCTTTTCTCCATAGTTCTCCTAAGGGTAACGGGAGGACACAAACTAGCGTCCTCCCGTCACCCAAAGCTCAGTATATAGCGAGCTACAGCTCGCGGTATACTGAGACGCCGCAGCCGGGACGGATCCCGACAATACTGTCTGCGTGAGTGACAGCTGACTCTGCCTATCTAGAGGCAGAGCCAGCTGTACCCACCCCCTCCCCCGTCCATTCCGACAGTCAGCGTTGGAGGATCGGACAGGGGAGGGGGAATCCCTGCAGGGAGCCGTGAGTGACAGTCACGGCTCTCTGCAGGCACAGGATCGAGAAGTGAGCGAGCGATGGTATGTGTTTGCTCACTTCCCAATCTATTGAGCCAACGTGTGACAGTTTCATTGTCACAGGTCAGCTAGAACTATGAGGCTGAGTGATTTTCACTCGCCTCATAGTTCTCCTTTAAGATACAGTAGGTCCCCAATTAACCATCCCTGCAGTGACATTTATTTATTTTGAATGAATGTATAACTGAACAGAAGAGTTTTTTTTTAAATATATGGCTTTAGTGTTCCAGTTACATAACTTTCACATTTTCATCACTGTATTCACTGTAGGAAAGAACAAGAGAAAGATGAAAAGAAGAGGAAAAAGCTACTGGAGCAAGCCAAGAAAGAGCAAAGAGAAAAAGAAAAGAAGGAACAAGAGATACGAAAGAAATTTAAGGTGCACTTATAAACTGCTTTAACAAGAAGAAGAATTCTGTGTATACAAACCCAGAATAACTAGGAAAAAAAAGAGAATAATTCTGTGTATACAATTCCGGGGTTTTGGTGGAAAAGGGTACAGTAGTTGGAAGCAGAGTAAAGTTGCCATAGTGTTCTTTAGTGCAGCATAGAGACTGGATAAACTTGATCTGGGAAATTAATTGCAATCACTTTTAAGTAAAACTACAGCCAAATTATTTTCATATCTGGGTCCCCTTTGAGAAGATCCCCAAGTCCCCCCCACACACACACACTTTTTCCCCAATGACATACAGTAACAGGAAGTGAGCCCAAAGTAACAAAGTGAGAGCAAATGCTACCTTTGACCAGGGAGAGCCCGCAACTTCCCACAAGGTCACCGCTGCCGCCCTCTGCGCTCTGCCGCCCCGAGGCCTGGCCTCGGTGGCCTTGTGGGAAATCCGGGCCTGCCTTTGACAGTTGTCACTGGAACAACTGTGCTGGGATTATTCCGGCTGTAACTGGTGACCACATTAAGGGATTTCCCTTCACCTATTGTTCTGGAGAAACACAAGAAGTGAATGTTTATTTCCCCAATGGGAACACAGGATATAAAACAATAAAAAATTGAACACTTTGTGGCCCTCCCATACTTCTTATTAGGGTTGCACAGATACTTTTCGAGTACCAGTGCCGATACTTGGCATTTTCATGAGAACTACCGGGGTTGCAGAGGTTGCAGCTGGGACCTGGCTCTGGCACTCCACCACTGTCCTGAAATCATTAGTCTGTATTGTTTTAGAAAAACTGTCACATGGCAATAAACAAAAATGTATCAGTACTCGTACTTGTAAGCACTGGGCAAGTACCAGTACTCGTACTCGCAAAACTGGTATCTGTGCATCCCTTTATTTATATTTATAAAAACAAAATCCTACATTAAAACAGAGATGTACAAATCCCAGGAGCTCCGTGTGCTCCTTACAAATGACAGCTGCCTTCTAATGTTGCATTTTTCTCTGGTCTAGTCTTGGAGCTGGAAAAGTATCTGTACTTCTACTTGTACCGAGTACTGTACTTGGTATCTGTGCAACCCTACATCTTATGCAAATGTTGACTTCTTGAACACTAGAACATACATATGCTCCCCTCTGTGTTATCAGGATGAGGAGATGGTAAAGGGTTTTTATTTCGATCATGAGTGACAATGCTGCTCCTTCATAGATACAGTACGGCAAGTGAGTGCTGTCAATCTAGCACAGCAAGTGTGTTACTGGCAGGATCACCAGGTGAAAATAAAGTCAAAATAGCCTGAAAAAAATAAAGAATGCACATTAGCGCACTGGTAAGCTGCAATATCTTGAGTTTGAATACACATTATTGGTTATGCTCTTTATCTCCACAGTTAACAGAGAAGGTTGAGGTTATTCATCATGCCAAGGCCTGCATGGACCACAAAGGTGGTAAAAATGAACTCTCTTTCAAGAACGGTGATCAGATTGAAGTAATACGTGTTACTGATAACCCTGAAGGAAAATGGCTGGGTAGAATGAATGGAACCTGTGAGTATATGTCAAGTCATCCGTTTATCATCAAACTAACCTAAGGCTGACTATACAAGGCTCGAATTTGGCCTGATTTCTATTAAATCATCTACAATTCATGTCAAGGGTGGCCCTGTTGGGGTGGAAAGTTGTGGCCGCAGCCAATCAGATGCAGTCGTTATTCAGCTATTCAGACAGCTGTGAGTCCTGCGGCTTCCTGAATACAATAGCAGGTAGGGAAGACTACTCCATCTACGCTATTTGGCATGGATGAGGGAATCTATTCATTTTTTTTCTTTCAACCCACAGACTGATCTTCTGTTGGGTTTTTATTGCTGTCTGTGTTCTCCGCTGGGAAGATTTACTCTCCCCATTTGTACTGGTGACCATTGTCACTGAGAGAGAGAGAAACTGGAAATTAAACATTTTTAGCTGTCACCAGAACAGAAATCGAGGGAAAATCTTCCACTGGGGACACTTGTTCTAGTGACAACTGTGTAAAAGCTGATTTCCCTTGTTTTTCAGAGATTTCCTGCTACTTTTCATTGTGCTTACAGGACAGGAAGTGGAGGTCATTCAGGGACACCAAATAAAAAAACTGACAGTGCTTTAGCAATACTTTAGGGATCTATTCATATTGTTTTCACAAACTTACACAACTTTCACCCAGATTTCAAATTTCTTATGGAATCTAATCAGAAAAATCAGGGAATCTTGCATTAAGCATTAATAAGTAGACCCTGAATGAGCGAATGTATAGTCCTTTCAATGTTTTTTTAGATACCGTTAGTATAAAAAAAATGATATACTAAGGAAATCTTGTTTCTGATTATAGTTGTAATTACATGGGAGTAGCCATATTTGTTCATTACACACTCATCTCTGCCTCACAAAAAAGTGATTGCACTGAGCCACTGGGAGCTCCCCCTAGTGGCTAATCTACAAATCTCAACATTTGGCTTTTCCTTCTCCATCACTAAAACTTCCTTGATTCATAAAGGCTGTGACACACTGCACGCGAAGCAGCGCGGAGCGGTGGTGTGCTGCCTTCGCGTGCAGTGTGTCATGTAATTTTCTACCCGACACGTCAGCTCGCGAGAGCTCGCATAGTTAAGCGCGCCGAGATGAAAAATGTAATCTTAAGCCAATCGGCTCGTGCATATAAACCCACACGTCACAATGCAAACTCCATCCGCTTGTTACGCGCGAGCCGATTGGCTGAAGATGCTATCAATTATCTGGCTGCGTTACGCTCACACATTGCATGCGAAGCTCCGTGCCTGACAGCTTTGCTTCGCTCTGCACGGCTTCGCATGCAGTGAGTCACGGGCTTAACACATCACCTCCAAGTCTTCAATCCCAAACAACCAATCAGACATCATATTTTTTAAGTTCGGTACACAAAGGTTTTGCTGAGCAGTTGCTATGGTTTCCTGTTCTTTGCATGTCTCCATAATCAGTAAACCAATGTTTTGTTGGAAACAGATGCAGATGATATTTGGAAGGCAGAAAGTGTGTGTGTGTGTGTGTTATTTCATAAACTAGCTGGCCATACATTAGTCTTTTTTCTCGTTTAGCTCTGTCACTGTCAGAATACCTGAACTCCAATAATTTTCTACGCTGCTCCTTCAACAAAAAGTTGATTGAAAAATGTACTTTTATTAAATGAATGGATGCTCATTGGGCCACACACTGCTCGAATTTCATCCGAGTTAACAGGACTTATCTTCTGAGTCCCCTTTGTAATAATAAGCAAAGATTTAGACATCATCATTGCCACATACTTCTAAAAGATTGGTATAGTCCAATTTCGTAATGCCACATATAGAGGTTTTACCCTTACAAAATTGTTTTATGTTTTCAGATGGTTACATCAAAACAACAATGGTGATAGTTGACTATGATTCACTAAGGAGAAGAAAAACAGTAACCAAGCCCACTCCAGTGAAACCAGATACAGACCAGGATATTTATGATGATGTTGGAGAGGATGATCCCACCAGCAAGTAAGAACCACAATTTAAAGCTCTTACTCTTTGATTCACTAATCATACATGAACTCTCCTCTAAGTTATTTCAATGAAGATTCAGTGCTGCTGGAGTCTCAGGTGCTGTGATCTAATGAATAAGGTATATTTCTGTACTGTTCTGGCTTAGTAGAACTCCAGGCAAAAAAAAGCTGATCAACCCTCACAAAAGTATGGAAATGGTACCACACCATCAGTGGCGTAACCAGAGTTATGGGCGCCCGGGGCAGAATTTTTTTTGCAAATATTTGTATTATTTACTTTACTTTTAGGGGCTTCAGGGAATATTAGGGGGCCAAACAGACCTCTGATATTTCCCTTTTAAAATAGAAAAAGAGATTGAGAACACAGAGTCCTTAATCTCTTTTTCTGTATCCTCTGTTATCAATGAACAGGAATCCTCTGAGTGTTCCTGTTCATTGATAACATGGTATGTTTACTATAACCACAATTATGAATGAACAGGATCGGATATAGATCACTCCCATTCATTCATAATTGAGGATATAGTAACCATACCATATCCTCAATTATCTACAAACAATCACTGATCGCTGATCACTGAGTGTATGTAGCCTGCTCTCCTCTCTGACACACACTGTCACAGGAGGCTGAGTGAGCAGAGCGAGAGGAGAACCCAGCCTCCTGTGACAGCGCTGTCTCCACCCCCACACCGCTCTGTCGGACTGTGATAGGCGGCTGAGCGGTGTGGGAGGAGAGACACCGGCCGCTCAAGGCGGTCTCCTTCTGCAGCGCTCGGCTGGCTGTCACTTTTTTTCCTCCCTGCTGGGACAAAGAGCAGCGCCCGGCGGGGAGGAAAGAAATCAAGGCTGCGCCGACAAAGCGGCAGGAAAATGGCACTTTCGGCATTTAGCCAAAAGTGCCATTTTCGGCTGGCGCCCCCCTTCAGCTTTACGCCTAGGGTCAGTGCACCGGTTGTTACGCCACTGCACACCATGTACCATGGTTAAGGAAACATGGCTTTTGAACAAACTCAAATGGATTTGGGTGAATTGTGTTTGTTTTTATTTCAGCCTATATGTTTTTAAGCTAATTTCATATATCTGTTTTTCATAGATATACGAGGGTCAATCAAAAAGGTAATGCCCCCATGTCTGTAATTTGAGACCAATTAGAGTGACTGTGAATGTTCATGTATAATGTTATAGTGGTGTCCTTATCCATGAATCTGCGGCTAAAACAATGAGCTGTGATTGAATTTCTGGTGAAAGAAATCCATAATTGGCTAAAGAATGTTAATAGTGACGCTGTAATGGACATTAGCAATGTGCGACATTGGGTGAAGAAGTTTTAAGAATGAGAAACTGAAATTCCACTACAGTGTCCCCATAAATTTTCTTTAGCCGATTATGGATTTCCTTAGGTGTGCAACCCTAATATCTGGCTAATAATCGGCTAAAGAATGTTTATGGGGACTCTGTAGTGGAATTTCAGTTTCTCATTCTTGAAACATCTTCACCACATTTCTAACGTCCACTACAGCGTCCCCATAAACATTCTTTAGCTGATTATGGATTTCCTTAAGTGGGCAACCCTCTTTCGCCAGAAATTCAATCACAGCTCATTGTTTTAGCCGCAGATTCATGGTTCTAATCACTCAATCTGAAAAAGAAAACCATACATTAGTGGGGTAAGGACACCTCTATAACATTGTACATGAACATTCACAGTCACAGCTCCTTGAGTGAGGGATTGTAGTAAATATGCAGTATTTAAAGTGCTGCATAAATTGCCAGCCCTCTATAAATACCTATAATAACTAAGGGGTCTATTCACAAAGCTGCCGAAGGATCTGGCCGTAGCTTCGGCCGAAAGCTGAGCAATTGGGGTAGAAGTGATGTAGCGAAATAAAGCTGGCCTGGGGGCAGGAAATATACATCGGGCCATGAGCCTTAGATAATAAAGCCTTAGGTGTTTGCATATTATGTACAAGTTTATTATGTACAAGTTTACATATGCATTCCACCACACACAAAGCACTGAATATGGCTCATTATTGAATAAGGTGTATGTCTAAGAACAGTAATACATCTCAACTGTCTTTATTTTCTCTCTTATTTCACAGATCTGTCGGAAACTCGTGTAAGTATAATATGCTTGTATGAAAAAGCCAGTCAACGATACCACTCATTACACAACTTCGGGTATAGAACCATAACATGAATGGTAGAATGCAAGCTGATAAGGTGTTGGCACTGCTCCACACACAGCTTACTGTTCCTATCTATAGGGCGCAGAAAGGGGGAACTTCATAGGGGGTTTCCACGCACACCAAATGGCCTCCAAACACAGAGTTTAGTGTCCATGTCCTCATTAGGTGTGGCTTTTTAAAAACCCAGACGTGACTTTTATAAGTTCCAGGCACTGGTTGAGCAGTTCCAGGCCATAAGCATATATCCTTCTTCTGGCATGTTTGCAGTGGATAACATGAGTGCTGGATGCTTTTCTGTATCTGGTTCCTGCATGTACAAGCTCCATCCAGCTCTTCCAATTGCTATTTCTTGTGATGTGCTCACTTATATCCTAAATTGAAACCTGTCATCAAAGACATATGGGGGTTGATTTACTAACCTTATAAACACACCAAGAACATGTATACACCTCTGTAGTGTGTTCCCTCCCAGCATGATCTATGGGTGGAATCTAAACACCTTTGTAGTGTGTACACACCCAGCAGGTGTGTTGTGCAAAGCCCTGCCCTGAATTGCAAGGTGATGTTGTGTAAATTAGCTCTACATTGTGTTGCTTGCGTTGATGAATGCAGGAATGTAAATGCATGAGCTAACCATTTTTGTCTAAACTGTGAAGCAGCATTATATATGCATCATGTGCATGATTTTTCCATATATGGCATTAGTGGAAATATGCTTTTAGAGACTTTTTGGTTGATAAATACGCTTTGCTGTGTAAAAATCACACGCACCTAGTGCGTGCGTGTGTTTAGGTTAGTAAATCACCCCCATGGGGTCACCATTGATGGTATATTTTTGCAAATATTACCTGTCTGTGTCAAATTGCAATCTTGAAGCACCCTAAACGTCAGCCAGCTTCAAATCTTTACCCGATGCATAACTAAAGATGTTCAGTCTGGCAGCTTTAAGAGGAGTACGGACTTTGTGTGCACTGCCTGTTACTCCCCTTTTCCTCTGTGCTGTCAGTTAGAATTAGGGTTGCCACCTTTTCTTCAGGCCAAACCCGAACACTATAGCGCTTCACGGCAATTTGTTTGTACAGTATAGGAAACCCGGGTTGTACGGGTGAAACCCGGGTTGTACGGGTGAAACCCGAGTTGTACGGGTGAAACCCGTACGGGTGGCAACCCTAGTTAGAATAGCAGTGTCACTCATCCAGCATTGTCGGATAGTGGCGGTGGTGTGGGGTTGAACTATCGGACAATGCTGCTCAGCAAAGCCTTCATAGTTTTGAATTGGACCAATGCTGCTCAGCAACACATGCCCAGATTTGAATCGGACCAAGTAAATTGGGCATTGGGTCCCTTTGGGGGTTTAACAAGCTTCTTCATCTTCCGCTGAGACTTCTTAAAGGAGAACTATGGGGTCAGTGTTTTTCCCCATAGTTCTCCTTAGGGTAACGGGAGGACACAAACTAGCGTCCTCCCGTTACCCTAAGCTCAGTATACCGCGAGCTACAGCTCGCGGTATACTGAGACGCCGCAGCCGGAGCGGATCCCGACCTGGACGTCGAGATCCGCCCAGCTGCGTGAGTGACAGCTGGCTCTGCCTATCTAGAGGCAGAGCCAGCTGTACCCGCCCCCTCCCCGTCCGTTCCGCCAGTCAGCGCTGGCAGATTGGAGCGGGGAGAGGGGAATCCAGCCCCTCCCCCTGTCACGGCAGAGAGCCGTGACAGGATCGAGAGGTGAGCGAACCCGGTATGTGTTCGCTCACGTCCCAATCTACTGAGCCGACCTGTGACAGTCTCATTGTCACAGATCGGCTAGAACTATGAGGTGAGTGGAAATCACTCATCTCATAGTTCTCCTTTAATGGACGGGGGAGTTGTCAGCTGAAGAGTCTTAGCCCTAAAGTCAAGGAAGTAAGCCCCCAAGTTATAAAGTGAAACCAATTTTACAGATAAGGGTTTCCTGGCTAATAAAAGTAATAACATCTTGTAGAAATATTTTCAATGAAAATAGTGTTGAGTTAACGCTTGATATTTTGTTTGCCTAGTCTTCCCACCTCCACCAAGTAATGATGATGATGACATTTATGATGGAGTTGATGACGATCCCCCTGACAGGTATGTATTCTGTGTACATTAGCAAAAATAATGAAGCTGCCGCTATATATAACATTTTGATAACTCAGCACAAGATAGTTTTTCCTGTCATTTGCTGCTATTGCAACTAGTCAGGTGTATGAAATACCAGATATGGTTCATTTTTGCATCTAGTAAATACTGAATTCTCATGTTTCTCAGAAACTCCATCCTAAAGATGTCTTGCAATTCTCTGCTCTGCGTAAACTGCCAAGGAGTGTCACTTCTCCTGCTGCATACTCTATAACATTAAAGGTGAATTCCAGGCAAATGCTAGATTTACCACTGGGCTGTACTTCAGTCCATCCAGCCCTGAGTTTTACACAGCCTCATAACACAGCAAATACAGATTTTCTCTACTGCAGTTAATTAATACAGCTCTGACACCTGCCTGTCCTCTGCCTGTGACTGGACCGTAAGCTCTGTCACCTCCATGTTCCCATCCTGTGACTGGACCGTAAAAAAGGAGCAATGAGGTCATTTCTCTGCTTTTCCTTTCTGTAAGCATGTTCCTTATTAGCTTGTGTGCACTGCAGCACACCTGACCGGCCTTAGTCCTGCCCCACCTACCCAGTGTCACTAATTAGACTGTTCATCCCCTGCCCTGAGATCTACACAGTCCTACCAGACAGCAGAACCAGGTCTAATTTTCCTTTAATGAAGTTAAGCAGTACAAATAGGTCACCTATCTGCTTCCAACTTGTGATTGAACAGCAATGGAGCAGCAGTACACTAATAAGCTTAACCCTCTGCTCATACTACTCTCTCCTTCAGTCAGCATGTTCCTTATCAACAGGGGCATGTCGCACACCTGATTGGCCACTGGTGCTGCCACTCCCTCTCCTGCAAGGGAGGTAACCCACATAGCAAGGATAACTTGCTACAAACTTGTGGCAGGGTGAAATTGTAATTTTTGTTAACTTGCTGCACATATTCCTGGCAAGTTGTAGACTTGCAGAACACTTGCAGCACAAGTTCTAGTAGACACTTTTTGAATTTGTAGCAAATTTGCTTGGCAAGTCTACAGCAAGAGTCCTGCAGGTCTTAGCAAGAGTTGTGCAACAAAATTGTGAAGCTTGGCAAGTCTGCAATAGTTTAGCAAGTCATTTTCAAACTTGCAGCTCAATTGCTTGCTATCTGGGAGAAGGCTGATACCAAAATAAGTGTAGATACATACACTAGCCATACATAAAACTACATGTACATGTATTCATTTATTTCTGTGATGAATACATAACTGAACTGTGTTTTTTACATTTGCCTGGACTTCAAATTTGAGTATATGATAACTCCAGCCGGAAAGTGAAACTCCCTAATATGGGACAGGTCAACAGGACTCAAAAACAGGCTTGCCCATTACCCTCCCCATGAGATCTAAGAAGTAGGAAGTGGTTGTACCTGTTTAGGAAATGACTCAGTTGGTTTTGTATTGTTGCTAAATCACTTGAAATGTGAATTTCTGAACTGAACGGTGCACTCTACACACTGCAAAGCTCTGTACCGCAGGAGGAAGAGAGAAGCGGCACCTGGTCCTGGTTTAAGAAGCGGAAGGGGACCCAACTCAAGCAGAAAAATGTATCCGAAAAAACTGAGCCTGAAGATAATGAAGAAAGCGAGTTTGCTTTGTAAGATGATAAAGCCTTAAAACTGACGGCACCTCTGCTTGCAGCAATCAGGCTGCACTAATTCATTGATATAACAATGCTACTGTTCCCAATCAATACGATCCAATCTGCCATTAATCATTTGCTTCTCTGTCAAAGATTAACCAAATTCACCTGATCACTGTCTAACTGTAAGAGTGACTCAATGCTGTTACAACAAGGGGAATTTTCAGGAACAGGGTGCCACATTCCAATAAGAGAGAACATGTTTAAAAAACAGGATAAGGGTGTATGTATAATATATATATATATATATACAGATTAGATATCTGCGTGTTTACCATCAATTTATGAGAAAGTACTTTTGTTTGGAGCAGTGACATAATTTAACCTCACCATCACCTAACTGGTTACATAGTTACATAGTTAGTCAGGTTGAAAAAAGACACAAATCCATCGAGTTCAACCTTTAGAGATACGGAGAAAAAAAAAAGAGAAGAAAAGCCTAAACAGAACGCTATGCCCACAGCTACCCCCTGTTGATCCAGAGGAAGGCAAAAAAAACCTATAAAGCATTGTTCAATTTGCTCCAACAGGGGGAAAAAAATCCTTCCTGAGCCCATAATGCAATCGGATATTTCCTGGATCAACAATCTCTGATGCCTAATATACCTAAAAGAACTCAATATCCAGTAATATTCTGTGCATTTAAGAATACATCCAGATGTTTTTTTTTTAAAACAATTAACTGAGCTAGCGAGAACTTTACTTCCAAGTCATATTGCAAGGAATCTAGAGTTTCTATATCCTATGCTTATAAGAACTAAGAAGCCTGGAATACCTGGGTGTATGTTGGTTAACCTGATCTATAGTTAAGTTGCAAACTAGCAGTTTTGGATGCACAGTGGGCTTTAGCCTCTGCCCAGGGGAATCTGATTGTCTGCATTCTATTTCAGATGATCATAGTATCTGTATTGGCAGGGGTGATGAGAGATGAGGTTTAGCACCTCAGAGGTGGGGTTTTGTGCCAGCAAGGGGTGGGACATTTTAGCACTGCCTTAGCTGACACAATAATATGGAATGCTTCTGGAAAGTAGCTAGTCAATAGTAGTAATTTTGATTGAGCAACTATAGGCTGCTGCCGACCCCACTGATTCACTATCTGTAAAAATCTGGAAAGTGCAGAATATAATTTTTAAGCCAAACCTGCATTATTGTTGTTATTGGACAATGATTAATACCAGCTCCGTGAGCATGCATGATTTTGTGATAGTTAGGGAAATCCTTTAGATGAAGATCAGCAATTGGATCATTATTTAAAATGATTTTCCATTTTGTTTTGTCAAAAAAACTTCCTTAGTATCACATCTGGGATATAATAAAGGTCATTAAAGAGACCCTGTCACCAACTCAGAAAAAGTAAGGTAAAAGTACATACAAATTTAGTGTTTTAGATGCTTATTTGCAGTGTTTTTCCTGCAAGTACAGAATGAGATAAAACTAAAAGCAAGCTATATATTTTCCTTCTCATTTACAGCTTACTGGTGTTTCCAGTGAAGGGTACTTTTAACACTATAGCATTTAAAGGCATTGTAGTCAACTATGGGCTTCCAACCTTGTGGCAACGGATTGGGGAAGGTCCTTTTCTGCTCTAGTATGACAGTGCGCCTGTGCTCAAAGCCAGCTCCATAAACACATAGTTTGGTGTGGAGAAACTCAATTGGCCTGCACAAAGCCTTGACCTCAACCTTACTGAAAACCTTTGGGATGAATTAGAACACAGAATGTAAACCAAGTCTTCTCATCCAACAACTGTACTTGAACTCACAAATGCTCCTTTGGTCGAATGGGCACAAATTCCCACAGGCACTCCAAAATCTTCCTCAGAAGAGTGGTGGATAGGACTGTGATAGGCGGCAGAGCGGTGTAGGAGGAGACGCCGGCCGCTCACAGCGCTCTCGTCCTGCAGCGCTCGGCCGGCTGTCACTTTCTCTTCTCCCCGCTGGGACATAGAGCAGCGCCCATCGGGGAGGAAAGAAATCAGGGATGCGCCGATGTATCGGCAGGAAAATGGCACTTTCGGCATCATGCCAAAAGTGCCATTTTTGGACGATATGTTTCGGTGGCCGATATATCGGTGCATCCCTAATTATTATACAGGATTTATATAGCACCAACAGTTTGCGCAGCGCTTTACAATATAAGGAAGACATTACAATCAAAATACAATTTAAGACAAGATGATAAGGAGGGCTATGCCCCTGAGGGCTTATAATCTAAAAGGGAGGGAAGTAAGTGATACATGAGGAGGTAGCTGTGTGGGGATGAATTGTTTGAGAAAGTGATGGTTCAGTGGTTAGGTCGAGGTGGGATAGGCTTCCCTGAAGAGATGAGTCTTTAGTGATCGCCTAAAGGCAGTCAGAGTGGGAGATAGACGGACAGGTTGGGGTAGAGAGTTCCATAGGATAGAAGGTCTTTTGGAGAGCATATTGCATAGGTAGCGGAGGGTTCTTTAGGTTTTAAACAAAACTTTTCAGTATAACATCTGACCTTCAACTTTCTATTATCATTATTAATTTAGTAGACCAACAATCGGTAACAGCATTTTATTTCTCATCTATTCTAATATTCACTTACTGTAACACATTTCTGTGATTATACTAACTGTGATGTGTCAATATTGTAATGACTCTTCCTCTCCTGAAATGTCTGTGATTTTTTTCTGTTCTAATATAAATTATCTATATAAAACCTATATGATTTGGAGTGGTAAGTGCAAATATGACTGATATCTCTGAAGCAGATCTAAGATATTAATGCAATCCACCATGTTTGATACCTGTCCAGCATTGGAAACTCTTAGCCATTTACCAACCACACCATGCAACTCTTTGACAGTATCAGGGCACAGAGAAAGGATCTCCAGTCAAGCTTTGCAATTACAAGATATAGATAGCATGGGGGGATGAGCCACACCATGAGTTGCATGGTGTTGCTTGTAAATGGCTGGCAGTTCCCAATGCTGATTGCTGGACAACCAGAGAGCAGACAAATGTCACTCGTGGTGCTATGCATTTATCAAGGGCCATGCATTATACGGCTGTTTAATGTTCATAGTGTGATTCTATGGTGAAGTTTCCCTTTAAGCAACCCATAAATGTTTCTGATTGTGAACCATGTTAGTTACACTTGCCATTAATCATTTGTTAAGAATTTGCTGTAAAATTCAAAGGGAGAGGCGGTTAGTACAACTTGAAATGATGTGTACAACTGGTAATCCAAGCTGTTTTCTTTTTATTTTACAGGTCAAATTCATCCATGCCTGGTAAGTGACCTTAAGAGCTGCGAAAGCCTAATATTTGCCTGTCACTAAACTATGCATTGTGATTTCACTCTATCATAGTAGCACACACAATAGGGTTACCAGTGCAGTCACATTCTCAACATTCCCTTGTATTTCTCTTGATGGGGGAGCAAATGCAGCCACCTACCAGTGTCTGCACGCCTCTTCTTTTACAAATATAGAGCCCCAGTACTCTGAAAACCAGCTATGCTTTATTACAGAATACACGGACCACATTTGTCATGGTCACTCTCTATCCTATCTATTCCTGCCCTTCCTGTCTCCCCACTGGTTGCAGGGTGTGGAGGATGGCCTTAGTGGCCAATAAGGAAATGGGAAGAACAAGGGGCAGGATTATGTATCTGTTAGGATGGGAATATTGAAATTACCATTGCTCATATGTATTTAAATATGTTCTCATTAATTCCTTCACTACCTAGTTATCCAGAGTTGGAATAAGCGTGTGCATATCATGGGTTCCAACACTTCATTGGCTACATGATTGTTCCATGCACCTTCAAAAACAGTGATTAAGCAATGGCTGCTATTTTTGTTTTTTAAATTACCTCTTTTTAGGTCGAAATAGTCTAAAATGAGTTCTTATAGGATGTTGTGGCTACAGTACTTTTCTCAATTTTATTGAATACATTCACATGTATGGCCATAATTTTGCCCATCACCCATTGCAAACCAGCTCAATGGACTGGGGCCAGAAAGATACAGCAAAGTGAACTGTCAACTGTGGAAATTATTTATAATGGAGAAAATGAAGGCTGCACACAGCAAATATTTTACACTTAGAAATACTAAAGACTGAGCTTTAAAGCCATTTTTTTTTTTTTTTGATATAGTCAGAAATAATTAAAATTTATATCAGGTTTTTATTCCTGCCTGTGACTCCACTGGAGTAATCACTTCCTGTCCCTGTAATGCCTGTATAAGATATGGGGTGGGGGGTATTACATAGTTACATAGTTACATAGTATTTGAGGTTGAATAAAGACATTAGTCCATCAAGTCCAACCTATTAGGATCTCATTCTAGGAGTACCTGTACCCCTGTATATTACGGTCCCTTAAGAAATCGTCCAAAAGTTTCTTGAACAATTCCACATTATTTGCTGAAATCACTGTCTGTGGCAGTGAGTTCCAGACCCTAACTGATCTTACTGTGAAGAACCCCCTTCGCCCCTTGTGCTGGAATTTTTTTTCCACCAATTTTAGGTGGTGGCCTCTAGTTTTTGTAACGGAGTTAATTTTAAACAGTTTATCGCTAATGTTGCTACCACCATTAAACATTTTGTACATGGAAATCATATCCCCCCTTAATCTCCTCACCTCTAATGTGAACATGTTTAAATTTAGTAGCCTCGTCTCGTAGCTCTGGTCCTCCATACCCCTAATTAGTTTGGTTGCCCTTCGCTGGACTTTTTCCAACTCAAGGACATCTTTTCTTAGTACTGGTGACCAGAACTGGACCGCGTACTCCAGATGAGGTCGAACCAATGATCTATAAAGTGGCAAAATTATAGACTTGTCCCTGCTAGACTTGTCCCTGCTAGACAAAGCAAGACCCTGCTAGCTTTGTTTACAGCAGCCTGGCACTGCAAACTACCTTTCAGTTTGTGGTCTACAATGACCCCCAAATCCTTCTCCATTTCTGACTTCCCACGCGCAGACAGCAACAAAAATAATTTTAGAGGTTCCAACCCTCCACTCTGCCCTGATGAAGGGGTCCTGTTGAGGCCCTGAAACATCACCTTTCTTTCTGTGAAAAGAAGAAAATTGTTCTCTTCTTGAGCTACAAAGGTGTGCTGGTGATGTTTTGATACTCTTGATGTTCTCGATTTCGGTCAACGTTACTAAGGCTCATTTCACATGCATACCTTCCATTCCATCTCAGCAGAGCATCATAGATGGATTGCCTGCTGGGTCGTATCAGAACAGAAACAGATGTCAGACATGTGACATCCGTGTCCATTCCAATTTTTACTCCATCCTGTAGAGGAAGAAAAAATGGACCCATGTAATCCCTATGGGGGCAAGATGTAAATAGACATGCTTTTATGCGCCTACATCCGGTCAGGTCTGCAGAAGCAAACTTCTTGTGTTTGGCCCCATGAAACTGAATGGGTCCAGATGGAAACAGACTCATATCCACTTACATCGGAAGGCCCAAAGGGATACATTGTGGTCCCTTTATGATCAGTCTAATCATGGGTCAAAACCTTACTAACATACGCCCATGTGAAAGGGGCCTTTATCACCCACAAAGACTGGAATCTGTATACTGTATGAAGTGTGCTGAACTGTATGATTTTCTATTCCATTGGCTTTAATGGATCATGTATATATCAGTTATTCATTATAATATATACTTTAACAAAAGTGAATCATGGCTCCGAATAAAACAAAACCCATCCGTCCAGTTTCTTTAGTTGTCATTTTTCCTTTATTCTTCCTTTATGCAGAAAGTGATGTTTACGATGATGTGGAAACTGATTTCCCACCTCCTCCTTTAGAAGCTAAGTAAGTATGATGCGCTGTAAGAACATTTTCACGGTTTCAGTTTATTGTTCAAGGCCTTCCACCAGAAAAGGAAAGCTTAATAAATGAACCAACACAATATCATCAAGTGGTTGTTACAGCCTTATACAAGGCTCTCTCTGGTTGCCGGCATACTAAATATAGTTGAATGTATGTGAACAACAATCCTCCAAATAATAAAGTTCAGGTGGTTTCAGTGAAGAGTGCTATTAATTCTACAGCATACAAAGACATTTTAGACAATTGTGCCTTTCCAACTTTGGGTAAATGTTTGGGAAAGATCTTTTCGTTTTTCAGCATGACTGTGTCACAAAGCCAGTTCCATAGAACTGCTAACCTTTTTCTGTCAAAAGTTTATTTGCAACATGTAGAGGGGACACTCCATCCAGATCTTCCCCACTGACGCGTTTCACTCTTGTTGGGTCCTAGTCTAGACCACTCCCGCCCTCATGTTGTTGTGCAACTGCAAGTCCCATGAGGCATTGTAAGACTGACAGTTACAGGCATGACTCCCAGAGGCAGAGGCATGATGGGATTTGTAATTAAGGCACAGCTGGAGGGCCAGCGTTGCCCAACCCTGGTCTAGGCTCATGCACATGGGGCATATGATTTTAGGTAGGATCTTGCTGTACATTGTATGCATGTAACACTTGTACTAACATTTACAAGCTTACAGTGTGCAGCGCAACTGTACCCTACTGGAGACACCTGTGTCCTAGAAACCAAAGATCCTAGGCAGTAATGCTGATTACATGCTGTTGCTAGTTCCCTGCCACTAAAGACACTAGGCGGCATGAGCCATCTGTGTCCTAGCAGACAAGGATGCTATATGGCTCCTGGGTTTATTATAACTGAAGCAGACAGAATCTGGCACAGTTGTCTATAGTAACCAGTCAGATTATCTTTGCAGCTTATTTAATTAAGCTTTCAAAATGAAAGAGGGAAGCAGTGACGTGACACTCTGGTGACAACTCCAAAATGTTGAATTTTTCCTCAATTTCTGTCTCTAAGACGAAGGTCACCAGAACCAATAAAGTGCTAAAAACGTTTTTAAAAATGGCTTTATATCCACTTCAAGAGATTATTTTGTTGGCACAAGTATCGTTTTTAAAGAAGCAGTGATTTTAACATCACTTAAAGGGTAACAATAATAATAAATAATTCTTTTAAATATCATGCCTGGGGGGTCCCCTTAACCTGCACTGCGGCATATATGTGCAGTATATACTGTACATCAAGCATCCATAACCCCTTAGGACCACTGTGAACTGACACTAGGGTTGCCACCTGTCTGGGATTGACCCGGACAGTCCAGGTTTTTAAGCCTGTCTGGGTTACCTAGCAGCTGAGAACCGGATACAACATGTCAGGCAGACAGGGGTAGCCAAAATTAAAATAGGGACTACTGGCTCCCCACTAAAAAATAGAATTAAATAATGTGGTTAATTGATATGCAAATTGGGCACCGCACCCCTTCCCCATTGTAGAAGGTGGTGCAGTCCTGCAAGTGTCTAGGAGCGGGAAAGGTATTTCAGCTTGCTTTTGTATCTCTATCTGTATCTGTAATCTGTGTGTGGCTGTCAGCCTCTGTGGTTAACAGACATAATTGTGTAGCTCTCTCATGCCTTTTTGCAGCCCTCCAACAGTTTAATTCACTTTGAATGAGACCCCTGGCTGCTTTATATTTTCTTAAACAGTTTTGCAGCTAAAATCTCTGGAAAGGACTTTGAGTGTCTGCACAGCTAGGTAAAAGTCCACATAGCCCACTTTAGAGCCTGCCAGGATGTGCGCATATGCCCCCCAGAGTGTCCGCATAGCCCACCAGGGTGTGCGCATAGCCCACCAGGGTGTCCGCATAGCCCAACAGGGTGTCCGCATAGCCCACCAGAGTGTCCGCATAGCCCACCTGAGAGCCCGCGGAGTCCACCTGAGAGCCCGCGGAGTCCACCTGAGAGTGCACACAGCCCTGGCGAGAGCACACACAGGCCACTTGAGACCATGGAGAAATCAGACTGCCACCCCGGAGCAACACAGAGTATGTAGCTTCATATTATTTTGTATTGCTGGGATCGAATCCTCTATAGCCAGTCTCCTTACATCCTCCCCGGCTGTCTCTCCTCACGCTTTCTCTCTTCGCTCTCTCCTCTATATTCTCCCGAAAAATTGAAAAATTGCCGCGTGCAGCGCTAGAGTGTTCAGGTTCCACTTGAAGAAAAGGTGCCAACCCTAGTTTAACCTAGCGTTCACAAACAAGAAAGACAAGACTTAACATTCATACTATTTGATGGGACCATTTGCTGAGGTAGAAGAAATGACAGTTATACTTTCATTTGTTTTAGTTTATTTACAAGCAAAAGAAATGACACTTTGGGAAGGTCACAGGATCAGAAGACTCTAAAGAGACTGGAAAAAGAGGAGAAGGAATTCAGGAAAAAATTCAAGGTAACATTTTAGTGAATCATAAGCCTTTGTGATTGTTTGAAAAACATTTTCTGGTCTTTCTATATATTGGAAGGTGAGGTATCTCTCTTACATTGCTTGCACTGGTTTATGGATGATTGCTGAGTGCTCCCTTGTAGTGATGGGCTGAACACCCCCATGAAAAAAGTTTTAATTCGAACTCAAACTCAATGCAGGTCTATGGGGGTAAAACTTTGAAATCAAATGTCCCCATTTTGAAGCCTTATATGCAATTTATTGGCCATAAAAAGGGTATGGGGATCCGGGTACTGCCCTAGGGGAACATGAATCAATGAAAAATAAACTTTTAAACCATACCGTTTTTAAAGGAGAACTATGAGATGAGTGATTTCCACTCACCTCATAGTTCTAGCCGACCTGTGACCATGAGACTGTCACAGGTCGGCTCAGTAGATCGGGAGGTGAGCGAACACATACCGGGTTCGCTCACCTCTCGATCCTGTCACAGCTCTCTGCCGGGACAGGGGGAGGGGCTGGATTCCCCTCTCCCCGCTCCGATCTGCCAGCGCTGACTGGCAGAACGGATGGGCCTCTAGATAGGCAGAGCCAGCTGCCACTCACGCAGCTGGCCGGATCCCGACGTCCAGGTCGGGATCCGCTCCGGCTGCGGCGTCTCAGTATACCGCTCGCGGTATACTGAGCTTACGGTAACGGGAGGACGCTAGTTTGTGTCCTCCCGTTACCCTAAGGAGAACTATGGGGAAAAACACTGACCACATAGTTCTCCTTTAACAGAGCAGTGATTTTAACATTGCTTAAAGGGTAACAATAAAAATGAAACATTTATTTAAATATCGTGCCTGGGGAGGTCCCCTTAAACTGCCTGTAAAGTGGCGGATCTGTACGATGTGTAGAACCTACTGCAGCAGTTCCCCCTCCCTTTAGGTCTGCTAGGAATGTTAGTAGGGACCCCATTTAAAAAAAAAAAAAAAAAAAATGTGCAGAGTTTCCCCTCAAAGTCATACCAGGCCCTTAATGTCTGGTAGGAATTTTGGGAGGGAGCCATAAAAATTTTTTGACGACCGCCGTCCCGTCGCTGCGTCGAACACCCGCCGCAGAATGGCATTTTGATAGATGCATTTTGATAGAAGCTAGAAGTGACAGCTAGCTCCACCCAACTGTTTACAGTTGTAACAGGTGAGTCATGATTGGGCAGAGTCACATTTCTCTGTGCCCTGATTGGGCAAAGTGTTGCACCTGAACTGTGGTCAGGTGCAAGGCTTTAGCCAATCAGGGCACACAAGGCACAGTGCCTTGTGCGGGCGAATAGCCCGCCGAACGCCCTGACAGTTCGTGTGTTCGCAGAACACACAAACTGCCGATGTTCGAGTCAAACTCCTGTTGGGCTTGAACATCGAGCCCATCACTACTCCCTTGCCTATTTGTTTTAAAAATCAGTGGCTGAGTGGTTAGTACTTCTGCCTTGCAGCACTGAGATCTGCAAGGAGTTTGCATGTTCTCAATGTGCTGTGTGGGTTTCCTGTGCGTACTCCAGTTTCCTCCCACACTCAAAAGACATGCTGGAAGGTTAACTGTCTAAAATTGGCCCAGTATGTATGTGTGATAGGCAGCTTAGATTGTGAGCTCCTTGAGGGCAAGGACTGATGTGCATGTGCACTATGTAAAGGGCTGTGTAAATTGTCACCACTATATAAAACACCTTCAATAACTAAATACATAAACATATATGGGAAAAGATATCCTAAACTCTGATTAACAGCCTAATCAGTTAAAAGGATAACTTTAATAAACCCCTCTAATTAGTTTATTTGCTGCTCCTCACTTTCACCTTGTTGGTTGTTTTGTAAAATAATCTTTTATGCAGCATCACATGAATTTTTATTCAAAGTAAAAACACATACAGTCTTTACAACAGATTTGTACCCCCTGGATCCTTCCTTAGGTAACACAAGAATGATGTACAGTCTAAGGCCCCGCAACACGATTGATGCGTCCAGCGGTAATGATTGGTTCCAAACTGCATGTAATGGTATTACATACTATCATATGCAGTGTGCCAGCGTTTAAATGCAGTGGTTGTCACACAATCATTAACTTGAATGGGTGACAGCTTCCCCTCGTAAGAGGTAGATCTACTACATTGTAAGTTCTCATAGGCAAGGTCCTCCTAACCCTATTGTACCGAAATTGTACTGTCTTGTACTGTCTCCCTCATTTTGTAAAGCGCTGCACAAGCTGCTGGCGTTATATAAATATTGTATAATAATAATAATAATAATAATTATTAGGGATTCCTGCTGCAGGAAAAAGCAAGCAAGTTCCTGAAGCAGGAATTCCTAATCGCTCTTAAAGATAACAGGAAATATGTAAGATCTGTTCTCACAGCAGATTACCATCTCTAATTATTTCCATACAAACAATACACCTGCGGATATATTTTAACAACATATTGCACACCAAAGCACCATATTAATGTTGATCTGATTTCGCCCAGGAATTGCAAAAAAACACAAACATAACAACAAAGGACTAAAGAACCAAATGTAAATCACAATCAAAAATGTAAACCTTTCAGTTGAATCATATAAAGATCTGCAATCCATTTCACCTCCTTTCGTGTTTAGGTTGATTCCCTATCACCCCCTCTATGCACTAATGTTACCTGATTTATAAATCTTAGTTGGGAAACAGAGAAGGGAATTTATCAACACTGGAGCAGGCAAAATCTAGAGCATCTGTGCATGGCAACCAATCAGCTTCTCTGTTTCATTTTCAAATTTTAACTGAACAAACTGAAGGGTGAATCTAATTGGTTGCCATGCACAGCTGCTCCAGGTTTTGTCTGCGCCAGTTTTGAATAATTCCCCTTAGAATGTTTATCCTTAATTAAATGTCTTGCTGGTGCAAGTTTTAACTGTGGAGACCGGATAGACTATTTGTGTTGAGATAATCGATCTTTCAGTTTTTGAGATGTCTCAACCACATAGCATAGCCACGAGCACATTAATATACATGATATCCCTCTGATGCCCTGGGTTGTGGGCAGGCCCTTGGCATCCTCACTTACAATGCAGGACTGCTGGTCCTGCATTGTATGTGATGACATCAGAATCATGAAGAGAAGTAGCTTTGGTGGACTGGTCGCATGCAGAGGAGGAAGCTTGCTGGAGTGAGGTATAAGGTAAGTAAAACTGCATTTAAAGGTAACCTAGACGCAAAAGCGATGCCCCACTGCATAAGTTTTGATTTTTTTCAACTTTAACAGACTGGTTTGGTATCCTCATACCCTAGTTATAAAAAGAGTCTTACTTCTCTTATAAAAACTGTTTACTGTTTCAGCTAAGAGCGTCATTGTTACATTGTGTTATATTTGTGGTCAGCAATGTCAACAAACACAGTCTTTGTTCTGCAGTTCACAGGTGATATCAGAGTGCTCTCCACAGTCCAGGTAGTGTTAAATCTATCAATGAAGAAATGGGGATCCAAAGACTTACCTCTGAAAGCGGGAGAAACCTTGGATGTCATACAACATACCAGTGATTCCACAGTCCTGTGTAAAAATAGTGAGTGCAAATGTAAGTACAGAAAGGTCACATGGTGGAATTTCCTTTCACTGTGTAATGACAAGACATGGTCATGTTGCTTGCAATAAGCAGGTATTCCTGATTTGCTCCACCCGTAACAAAAACAATGCTCTGAGTCTGTTTATATTGCGCTATCCCCCTTTAGCCTGCTGCGTAAAGTGATTTCTGTGTGTGTGTTCAGGACCTGTCATTAGTGACTGTGTGATCTGAGCCAAACGTAGACACACCCAAATTAGCAATAGTATTTAGTACAGCAACTGGGAACTAGAGTCCCTGTGGTTCAAAAAAAAAGCCCAATTCAGTCCAAAATATTTTATGTTGTTTTGGATAGAGCAAGGAAGATTGAGAACCTCTATCAGGTTTGCTATTGACAATATGTATGTGAGCATGTGAGGGTGCCAAACAATTGTTCTTAGACTCCATAATGATGTTTTATGGATTCCACAAATGACAACCGGAAAACAAAGAAAAGCAGTCAACGTGTTTCTCAGCGCTTTGCTGAGTCCAACTCACAGTCAGTTGAATCTTCAAGCTCTGATGAAGGGGGATTCCTTTGCATTAACTGCCCCAAAACGCATTGACTGCCTTTGCAGTGTGTCTCATACCCCCGCCAGGTAGATTTACCCTATTTGTCTGAGTGGCCATTGTCACCAACACATGATTGTTGGGGAAATCCAAACTTTTACAAGAGGTGAGGTTAAATCTTCCAATAGAGATTTCTTCTCCTTTGACAGCTGTCTAAGAGGGGAATCCATCCCAGTTTGTATAGATTTCCTATCACTTCCTGCTGTGTCTAACGTACAGGATGTGAAGGGAAATCTACTCAAAGGAACACAGCAAAAGTTACCTGACAAAGCGTTTAAACTGAAAAGAAATGTTTTAGCTATGCATACACTTTAATGGACATGCTGGAACTAAAATCCTTTGCATAAAAGGGGTAGGCCAGGGACAGACAGGTGAGAAGGAAAGCCCTCCAGCCAGGAAATATGGTGAGCTCTATCTGACTTTCTGCAGCATCTAATGAGTGAGTGAAATCATAGTGAGCAGTTTCAGTACAGGAGAATAGCCCGTGCAATTGTATTCATTGTTTATTCAACACATGCATGGTAAAAATCAGTCTATTTATAATTCAAGTAAGAGCTCCTGTATGACGGTCTAAACAAGTACCAAGTCTAGTTACTATGTGATCAGGGCCGGATTTACTCCCCCTGCCGCCCCAAGGCCAGGTTCCACAATACGCCCCAGTTTCTTTATTTGTGTCTCACACCCTACCCCCCAGACACTGCAGCTCACAGTGGGAGACTTTCAGCAGGATAGGCAGTGCTGCCAATCCATTAAGCAGTGGACAGGTCTAGGTGGTCGGGCATTGTATGACGAGCTGTGGGCTTGTGGATCAGCAGTGACAATGCTGATATGGCTACATTGCAACATTTGCAGGGTAAGCTGATATGGCTTAACCTGCAACATTTTTTCTTCCCACTGTAGTGCAAACAGGTACAGCTTACATGAAAGTGGCAACTCTGCTCTGAATTCATGAGCAGTGCAGCATCGTGGCCACCCTATCACAGAGAGTTGCATAAGATGGACTATCACTAGCAGGATTAGAGTTTGTTGGACATTACAGGGGGACTAAGAGAAAACTGTAATGTACTTATATTAGATGCTGCATTATGTATTTGTTTAGTGGTAGGCCATACTGTAGTTCTCCTTTCATGTATTTGTTTTGCAATAGTTAAAAATAATAAAACTATATTGTTTTGCAGATGGTTACGTATTACGGAGCAACATCATTGTTATGTAAGTATGTTTTCATTGTTATTTGTTTCATTGTTATTTATACATCTAGGAATTGGGAAGCTGCAATTTATTAAATTTTTACTTTTGGGTTTACATTAGATACACTTTAAACATATTGGTGTACATTATACTAATAATGAAAGGTTTATACTCTTGTTATTGTTCACCTTTGTACTATTACTAATATTACATAATTGATTAATTTTTTTTTGCAGTGATGATGGAGAAATTTATGACGATATTGGAGAAGGTATGTTTATCAATATTTATGTCCTTATAATCTTTGCAGATGTTTTTGGTATGGTAAAGAACATAAAAGAAGATAACCATATGTGTAATAATTGAGTACATACCGATATATATACCTGTATATTACATATATACTGTAAATGGAGCCAGAAGCCATAGCACGTTTTGTATACAGAATTCAGCAGTAGGCAGTGAGTATACACTTTGAGAAAACCATGGCTGCTGTAATTAAACAGCTGAGTGGCTCACTCTTGATATTGGGCGGGTGGCTATCCCGGGCTCCGCACGTTTGCTCTCTGTACCTCGCGTTTGCTCTCTGTACCTCGATCAGAGGGAGATCAGGTCACTTTCAGCAGCTGATTCCCCTCAGATCACTGGACCTTGAAGTGATGTGTATTACATCACTTCCGGTTTCAAGCTGTCATTTCTCCAGCTGCTGTAGCCAGAGAATCAGCTTCTTTGGAGTCCCTTGGCCTCTCTATATGTCTCCATAAAGAGGACCTGTCACTGTATATGTGCTATCACATATGACAGCAATAAAGTTAAAGGAGAACTGTGGGGTGAGTAAATGACAATTAGAAAATTATTATTTTTTTAGGTACTTTTTTTCTTTATATAGTAAAAAATAAAACTCCCCAGTGGTGATTAAACACCACCAAAAGGAAGCTCTATCTGTCCCTAAAGAAATTATATAGAATTAATTTCGGTACAGCGTTGCACGACGGAATAAATGTCGAAGTACCTCAGCGCTGAATACGGAAAAGCAGCCTAGACAGGAAGGGGGTTAACATGTTGACATCCGCGGTGTTAAACCCCCTCCAGGCCATTTTTCAGTATTCAGCGCTGCGGTACTTTGACTGACCTTTATTCCGTCATGCAACGCTGAATTTTATACCCTTTTTTGGGGACAGATAGAGCTTTCTTTTGGTGGTACTTATTCACCACTGGGGTTTTTATTTTTTTACTATATTAAGGAAAAATTACCGAAATTTAAAAAAAAAAAAACAGTTTCCCCTATATTAAATGATAAAACATTTATTATTACCCAATTTTGTGGTAAAATATAAAAGATGGGGTCACGTCGGGTAAAAAGACACCAAACATGTCAAGCCTTAAAATTGCGTGCGCGCGCGAAACCTCAAGAAACGATAATACCCAAAATTGGCCACAGGCGACGCTTTAAAAGCTGTTAGCGCTCATCAATTTAGTGTTATCAGTGATTGATGGCCCTAAAATGATTGCTCTCACTGCGACGTTCGCGGCGATATGTAACATGTGTAGCGCAATTGTTGGACCCCTAGGACCCCTAATGTCACCTGTGGCAATTGTTGGACCCCTAGGACCCCTAATGTCACCTGTGGACCCCAAAAGAAGCTGATGAAGCAGAGATCTGCTTCATCAGCTTCTTTTCTCTGGCTATAGCAGCCAGATGACTGACAGGTGAATGCGGAAGTGATGTAATACACATCACTTCTGCATTCACAGCCCGGAGGGAGACAGCAAGGAGCTGATCTCTCTCCCTCTTCCTCCTGACGCCCTCCGAGCCGGTCCCGGGCCGCAGATGGGGCAGCGGATTTCGGGATTGCAGGTGAGGTGTCAGGGGGGGAAGGGGGCAAAAAACCGGCGGCGGCGAAAAACAAGCACATATAGACGATCGGCGGGCTATGGAGCCGCCGATCGTCTATATGTTTAACACCCGGTAACGGGTGTTTGCATTGGTCGGTTCTTTTCTTCCCGTGCGTGCCCGCTAGGGGGCGTGCGCGAGCAAAAAAAAATGCTACCCGCCAATGCAGCAGTGCCGTCCGTCCGTTTTTTTACAACGGGCGGACGGCAAGTGGTTACAGAGACAATGTCACCTTGCCCATGCAGGACTAAATTACAGCTTGTTTGTTCCCCCCCACGCCCCAGTTATAGTCACTTTACCAGCACTCCCTGCCAGCTTCTGCCTCCACTGCAGTTGGCACTGAAATCCAAGATGTTTTCTGTGTTGGTGGTTATGAGGAGTGGTTATGTCACCACCTCTCTCCCTCCCAGTGCATGGACCTAGAGATTGGCTTCTAGACCAGTGGTTCTCAACCTGTGTAACCTCAGGACCCACATTTGTCCTGCGTCATTAAGTCATGACCCAAGTTGCACTGCAATGGAACGCACAGCATTGAGGTACTGCGCGTTCCGATGCGGGTGATAGAACTGTGGGTGGGAGGTGCATTTGGGGTGCCATTCAAATGAATGGCAATGCACTTCTCACACCAAAATGCGTGGTAGGTGCGATTGCGAAGTACAGTGCGTTAATTGCACGGGACTGTGTGATTAACGCACTGTACTAGTGTGAATGGGCCCTCAAAAACATACAACCACATACCCAATCTCACACATACACACTCATGGGCTGCTGTACTGTGATGGAGCTCCATCCATATGTGCAGTGCTTGTACAGCTCCCTTGCACACCCTGTAGCGGTGCCGAGAGCCAGTATGTTACATCACACAGGTACAGGCAACTCTACATGGACCTGGGAGCCCACCCCACCTCAACCTGACACTTGGCACTGGGCAGCATATTTTGAATGGCTGCTTGGAGCAAGAACTGACATTGCTGCACTAGGGGGAGCCTGATGAGCCTCTCACCTAGAAAAGTGGAAGGCATACGGGGACCCACTGAACACAGGGTCGCGACCCACTTTTGGGTTACGACCCACCAGTTGAGAACCAAGGGTCTAGACCATTTGGTGTACTGGTGACACTTTGCTTCCTCATTGATTACAAAGTAATTCACAATTATGATCTGTTGTAATAAAAAACAACTATTACCTGCCCCTCTGTGGGGCACTGAATGACTTCCATGCACTGAATATTTAACAGCAGAATTCTTCTTGTCCATTCTGTATTAGAGGAACCCTGTACTGACATAATATGTAGATTGCCACTCTTGTTATGCAAATGCTAGTTGCCTGGTTCTCATTCTAATCCAAAGGCTTCAATGCTTTCTGAGTCACCTGACTCAGGATAAGTATGCAAATCAGAACTTCTGACTTCCCTAGTTGCATACTTGTTTTGGGTCAGTGACTCAGGGTATAGAGACCATATACAGCCAAGTTACTAACATTTTCAAAGAAAGCCATCAGTAGCAGCCTCACTGCACTCTCTTAGGAGAAAATGTAAAAGATGTGCAAGATTTCATTTATCCAGGTCATGGTATAGCTAGTAATAGTCACATAGAAATGGACATGTTCTGTAGTGTTTAAAAGATCACCCACATAAAATGCCATTATAAAATCTCAATTCACACCTTCGGCCATGTAACTCAAAAAACCTGTCACAGGCTTCATGGCACCATGGAGATTGGACGATTGGTTTGGCCATGTTCTTGGACAATCTTCATTACACCATACTGACTGGAGAGAAACATTGAGAACAAAAGAGATGTAAGTTTTAAGTTACCAACAACATGAGGTATAAAGATCAATTTTGTTATAGTCAAAGAATCTTAAAATCAAGTAAGAAAACATAAAATATGTCCATTGTGGTAAACACACCAGTTATAAATAGAGAAATTTAAGTTTAGAACCTCCCATATATTACCTCAATCCTCACCATACAGCCTATTATCATGTGTATATATGTTTTTTTTCACATATACCATTAGACTGTGGCACAGTCTAATGCCATTGATTTAAAGCTGAATCTTGCAGTCAGATGAGGATAACTCAGTGGGGGGCATTATTAAAAGTGTCTTAGACCAACTTGGCCTTAAGTGAAGTTCAGCCAGTCATTTTCTAAGCTGTGTAGAAAAAAAAGGAAATATAGAAACAGATTGCTTGCTATGGGCAATGGTACCAGTTAACATAGAACTTGTCCCAGACAAGTTCTGTGTTTCCAAGAGCCAAACTATCTGCTTCATTAAAAATTACAGGAGGTAATGTAATTGAACCAAGCATGTAGTCCTTTAAATGTTAGCCTCCCAGATATATCTGCAGGAGTAATACAGGTGGTTCCAGATCATCAATGGCTCTTATTTTGGGCTTCAGATCACCAATGGCTCATATATGGGCCTTAGATCCCCAGTGGGTCTTATATAATGGCTTCAGATCACCAATGGCTCCTTTATGAGCGTCAGATCACCAATGGCTCCTATATGGGCTTTAGATCACCAATGACTCCAATATGGGCTTCAGATCATCAATGGATCATATATGGGCCTTAGATCACCATTGGGTCCTATATGGGCTTCAGATCACCAATGGTTCCTACATGGGCTTCAGATCACCAATGGCTCCTATATGGGCCTTCGATCACCAATGTCTCCTATATGGGCCTTAGATCACCAATGACTCCTATATGGGCTTCAGATTACCAATGGTTCCAATATGGGGTTCAGATCATCAATGGCTCATATATGGGCCTTAGATCACCAATGGGTCCTACATGGGCTTTCGATCACCAATGGCTCCTATTTGAGCTTCAGATTATCAATGGCTCCTATATGGGCTCCAGATCATCAATGGCTCCTGTATGGGTTTCAGATAACAAGTGGCTCCTATATGGGCTTTAACCTATCTTAAAATGTGTTCAGAGAAACATATTAATACTTGGATGGGACCTATATCAGGTTTCGATAAATGGCACTATGTATTGAAATGGTATATGTTGAACAGTAGTGCAAAAATGCCAAAAGTTCCAACTGGATGTACACATCAAATACTAGAGCCCAAAAGCAGAAAAATAAATCGGGGGATCCCCACAGACAAAAATGAGAGCACCTCCACAGATTACTTGGGGGTTACCTTTTTCAGAATTCTTTAGGCTAATCACATGACACACTGGATCATCTCCCTCTTCAGTCTTCTCTTGGTAGATCTATAATTATCCAGAGATCTGCACTGCCATGATAACCTCAATGCTGCATTCCACGTCAATATAGTATGAATGCAGGGCACCATGTTGATGCTCTCTCTGCGCTCTCTGCCCACTCTGTGGTCCCATGATACCTTGCATTCTCAGTATGTCCTAGTCTTTTGGGTTCAGTGCTGCTGGGCTGACTTTTTACTTCCAGATGCTGCTGGGGGACCTTTTTATTTAAAAAAAAATTGCCCAGAGTTGAGCTTTAAAGTGATTAAGTTTACCATAGGGGTCTAAATGCTGGGGTATGTTCCCAACATTCCTTAGTCCTCCAACAGTGGGGGCACCTTAGATGAGCGGCTAAACATTTTCAATACTACAGAACCAATCTGGTTGAAGGTTACTAATTACTGCTAGCTATGTCAGTCACATGGTCTCTGCCAAAGGAGGTATCAGTGTTCAGGTAGAACTCAGGATTCAAGCCCTTTACCTGCAACCACATGATCATTGCACTGGCATTTGGTCATGTGATCGTGGAGAATTGTTTATTTCAGGTAGGCTTGTGACATTTCTTTATTGCTTTTCACTATCACTAACGCTGAGGATTATAACAGAATCATCATCAGACAGTATGGTTAGTGGGTGGCAGACAAATGCAGTTATAAGTTTTTATTACTCTTTTTTTACAGATTGCATCTATGATAATGACTGAGCCTACGTTGACACCTTCCTGCAACTTCATACATCACCCTCTCTATAGGCTCTTGCGCGGCATGGAAAGGATTGCCACACCGTTTATAATATTGTTGTAAATATGATCACTTCTATGTGCACTTGTGTTTTCACACCTTACTTTGCAAAAAAAATTTGATGTTATCTGCGGCATGTACTTTCTATAAAGGAAAAATACTTGTGGCAAACAAAAACAAAAAAATCCAAATGGTTTGATGCCACATTAAAAGTATCCAGCTCAGCATACAGGGTAACTGTTGTATAGGTTCAGCAAGGGAAGGGGTCACTGTGTTTTCATGCAAGGCCAAACAAGTTTTTGACATGTATGTTTTATGTTCTTGTTGTGTCATATTTTTCTAGTAATATCTCACAATCAGGGTTGTAGCACTTATCTGTATATGGATAAAGTCATACAGGCTTGCCAAATTACAGTTAGGGGAAAGCCACCTGCCGGCAAATCTACCTGAGAAGGGTAATGCTTCCCAGACTGTCTATAACCTGGACCTGTGAACATTTTGCTTAACGTTGAACTCTTGGATGAGCAAATATTGTGTAAGTGGAGAGTCATGTGTATTCTTACTTGAATAGTCTATATGTTTAACACCCGGTAACGGGTGTTTGCATTGGTCGGTTCTTTTCTTCCCGTGCGTGCCCGCTAGGGGGCGTGCGCGAGCAAAAAAAAATGCTACCCGCCAATGCAGCAGTGCCGTCCGTCCGTTTTTTTACAACGGGCGGACGGCAAGTGGTTACAGAGACAATGTCACCTTGCCCATGCAGGACTAAATTACAGCTTGTTTGTTCCCCCCCACGCCCCAGTTATAGTCACTTTACCAGCACTCCCTGCCAGCTTCTGCCTCCACTGCAGTTGGCACTGAAATCCAAGATGTTTTCTGTGTTGGTGGTTATGAGGAGTGGTTATGTCACCACCTCTCTCCCTCCCAGTGCATGGACCTAGAGATTGGCTTCTAGACCAGTGGTTCTCAACCTGTGTAACCTCAGGACCCACATTTGTCCTGCGTCATTAAGTCATGACCCAAGTTGCACTGCAATGGAACGCACAGCATTGAGGTACTGCGCGTTCCGATGCGGGTGATAGAACTGTGGGTGGGAGGTGCATTTGGGGTGCCATTCAAATGAATGGCAATGCACTTCTCACACCAAAATGCGTGGTAGGTGCGATTGCGAAGTACAGTGCGTTAATTGCACGGGACTGTGTGATTAACGCACTGTACTAGTGTGAATGGGCCCTCAAAAACATACAACCACATACCCAATCTCACACATACACACTCATGGGCTGCTGTACTGTGATGGAGCTCCATCCATATGTGCAGTGCTTGTACAGCTCCCTTGCACACCCTGTAGCGGTGCCGAGAGCCAGTATGTTACATCACACAGGTACAGGCAACTCTACATGGACCTGGGAGCCCACCCCACCTCAACCTGACACTTGGCACTGGGCAGCATATTTTGAATGGCTGCTTGGAGCAAGAACTGACATTGCTGCACTAGGGGGAGCCTGATGAGCCTCTCACCTAGAAAAGTGGAAGGCATACGGGGACCCACTGAACACAGGGTCGCGACCCACTTTTGGGTTACGACCCACCAGTTGAGAACCAAGGGTCTAGACCATTTGGTGTACTGGTGACACTTTGCTTCCTCATTGATTACAAAGTAATTCACAATTATGATCTGTTGTAATAAAAAACAACTATTACCTGCCCCTCTGTGGGGCACTGAATGACTTCCATGCACTGAATATTTAACAGCAGAATTCTTCTTGTCCATTCTGTATTAGAGGAACCCTGTACTGACATAATATGTAGATTGCCACTCTTGTTATGCAAATGCTAGTTGCCTGGTTCTCATTCTAATCCAAAGGCTTCAATGCTTTCTGAGTCACCTGACTCAGGATAAGTATGCAAATCAGAACTTCTGACTTCCCTAGTTGCATACTTGTTTTGGGTCAGTGACTCAGGGTATAGAGACCATATACAGCCAAGTTACTAACATTTTCAAAGAAAGCCATCAGTAGCAGCCTCACTGCACTCTCTTAGGAGAAAATGTAAAAGATGTGCAAGATTTCATTTATCCAGGTCATGGTATAGCTAGTAATAGTCACATAGAAATGGACATGTTCTGTAGTGTTTAAAAGATCACCCACATAAAATGCCATTATAAAATCTCAATTCACACCTTCGGCCATGTAACTCAAAAAACCTGTCACAGGCTTCATGGCACCATGGAGATTGGACGATTGGTTTGGCCATGTTCTTGGACAATCTTCATTACACCATACTGACTGGAGAGAAACATTGAGAACAAAAGAGATGTAAGTTTTAAGTTACCAACAACATGAGGTATAAAGATCAATTTTGTTATAGTCAAAGAATCTTAAAATCAAGTAAGAAAACATAAAATATGTCCATTGTGGTAAACACACCAGTTATAAATAGAGAAATTTAAGTTTAGAACCTCCCATATATTACCTCAATCCTCACCATACAGCCTATTATCATGTGTATATATGTTTTTTTTCACATATACCATTAGACTGTGGCACAGTCTAATGCCATTGATTTAAAGCTGAATCTTGCAGTCAGATGAGGATAACTCAGTGGGGGGCATTATTAAAAGTGTCTTAGACCAACTTGGCCTTAAGTGAAGTTCAGCCAGTCATTTTCTAAGCTGTGTAGAAAAAAAAGGAAATATAGAAACAGATTGCTTGCTATGGGCAATGGTACCAGTTAACATAGAACTTGTCCCAGACAAGTTCTGTGTTTCCAAGAGCCAAACTATCTGCTTCATTAAAAATTACAGGAGGTAATGTAATTGAACCAAGCATGTAGTCCTTTAAATGTTAGCCTCCCAGATATATCTGCAGGAGTAATACAGGTGGTTCCAGATCATCAATGGCTCTTATTTTGGGCTTCAGATCACCAATGGCTCATATATGGGCCTTAGATCCCCAGTGGGTCTTATATAATGGCTTCAGATCACCAATGGCTCCTTTATGAGCGTCAGATCACCAATGGCTCCTATATGGGCTTTAGATCACCAATGACTCCAATATGGGCTTCAGATCATCAATGGATCATATATGGGCCTTAGATCACCATTGGGTCCTATATGGGCTTCAGATCACCAATGGTTCCTACATGGGCTTCAGATCACCAATGGCTCCTATATGGGCCTTCGATCACCAATGTCTCCTATATGGGCCTTAGATCACCAATGACTCCTATATGGGCTTCAGATTACCAATGGTTCCAATATGGGGTTCAGATCATCAATGGCTCATATATGGGCCTTAGATCACCAATGGGTCCTACATGGGCTTTCGATCACCAATGGCTCCTATTTGAGCTTCAGATTATCAATGGCTCCTATATGGGCTCCAGATCATCAATGGCTCCTGTATGGGTTTCAGATAACAAGTGGCTCCTATATGGGCTTTAACCTATCTTAAAATGTGTTCAGAGAAACATATTAATACTTGGATGGGACCTATATCAGGTTTCGATAAATGGCACTATGTATTGAAATGGTATATGTTGAACAGTAGTGCAAAAATGCCAAAAGTTCCAACTGGATGTACACATCAAATACTAGAGCCCAAAAGCAGAAAAATAAATCGGGGGATCCCCACAGACAAAAATGAGAGCACCTCCACAGATTACTTGGGGGTTACCTTTTTCAGAATTCTTTAGGCTAATCACATGACACACTGGATCATCTCCCTCTTCAGTCTTCTCTTGGTAGATCTATAATTATCCAGAGATCTGCACTGCCATGATAACCTCAATGCTGCATTCCACGTCAATATAGTATGAATGCAGGGCACCATGTTGATGCTCTCTCTGCGCTCTCTGCCCACTCTGTGGTCCCATGATACCTTGCATTCTCAGTATGTCCTAGTCTTTTGGGTTCAGTGCTGCTGGGCTGACTTTTTACTTCCAGATGCTGCTGGGGGACCTTTTTATTTAAAAAAAAATTGCCCAGAGTTGAGCTTTAAAGTGATTAAGTTTACCATAGGGGTCTAAATGCTGGGGTATGTTCCCAACATTCCTTAGTCCTCCAACAGTGGGGGCACCTTAGATGAGCGGCTAAACATTTTCAATACTACAGAACCAATCTGGTTGAAGGTTACTAATTACTGCTAGCTATGTCAGTCACATGGTCTCTGCCAAAGGAGGTATCAGTGTTCAGGTAGAACTCAGGATTCAAGCCCTTTACCTGCAACCACATGATCATTGCACTGGCATTTGGTCATGTGATCGTGGAGAATTGTTTATTTCAGGTAGGCTTGTGACATTTCTTTATTGCTTTTCACTATCACTAACGCTGAGGATTATAACAGAATCATCATCAGACAGTATGGTTAGTGGGTGGCAGACAAATGCAGTTATAAGTTTTTATTACTCTTTTTTTACAGATTGCATCTATGATAATGACTGAGCCTACGTTGACACCTTCCTGCAACTTCATACATCACCCTCTCTATAGGCTCTTGCGCGGCATGGAAAGGATTGCCACACCGTTTATAATATTGTTGTAAATATGATCACTTCTATGTGCACTTGTGTTTTCACACCTTACTTTGCAAAAAAAATTTGATGTTATCTGCGGCATGTACTTTCTATAAAGGAAAAATACTTGTGGCAAACAAAAACAAAAAAATCCAAATGGTTTGATGCCACATTAAAAGTATCCAGCTCAGCATACAGGGTAACTGTTGTATAGGTTCAGCAAGGGAAGGGGTCACTGTGTTTTCATGCAAGGCCAAACAAGTTTTTGACATGTATGTTTTATGTTCTTGTTGTGTCATATTTTTCTAGTAATATCTCACAATCAGGGTTGTAGCACTTATCTGTATATGGATAAAGTCATACAGGCTTGCCAAATTACAGTTAGGGGAAAGCCACCTGCCGGCAAATCTACCTGAGAAGGGTAATGCTTCCCAGACTGTCTATAACCTGGACCTGTGAACATTTTGCTTAACGTTGAACTCTTGGATGAGCAAATATTGTGTAAGTGGAGAGTCATG